TGGGAGATACAGTACAATAAAAATGAGTAATATTGTCTTCCATGTGCAAGGATGCCTTCTCATCAGCTAAATGCAGAAAAGAGTACTTTCATTAACTAAAGCAGGGATCTAAACCTTTTTATGCATCCTGGAGCCCTTGGGTTGTGTCCTGCAAAGCCCATGGACCCCTTCTCAGAATTGTGTTTTCAAATACACAAAGTAAAATACATGGAATCAAAAAGGAGACTAATTATAACAATATAGTTATCAAAATATGTTTTTTAAACTACAAACCCATGAACCCCAGGCTAAGAAGCCCTACTCTAAATTACCAGTAAGTCACTTTGCAAAGCCCTACAGAAATGAGAGCCCTAAGCATATGCTTCAGTGAGAGAGGTGGTGAGGCCCATAGAAGGAGAAGTCGGGGGTTTGAGGGTCAGAGGGTCACGAGATCCTTCATCGTCACTCACTGCTTGGGTGACCTAGAGTGAGTCACTTGAGCTTGCTGGGCTCCTGTTTGCTCTTCTGTAGAGTGAAGGACCTCTAAGTTCTAGATCTACGATCCTATGACCCATTTCTATGGCAAATTCCCACATGGAAGATGTGGCACTGATGGCCAGGCATCTACCCACACACTTTCCAATCTTGGATGATTCCTTGCCATTCACTTTCCCTAAATCCCTCAATGAGGCTGTGCCCAATATACTAGACATTGGCTCTTTTAACATTTCATGGATGCCTTGGGCTGTCCATCTGTACATAATTGGCCCATCTCCATTTCCAGTTACGTGTGTCCTTCATGATGCCTCTTATGCTATTTCTCACCTTGTTGGGAACATGTTACCCTGCTCACACCCACCATTGCCCTGTGGGTCACCTACAGTTTTAATTCTTCTCCGATGAGGGTCTTCCATGCTTCCCAACTGTGGCCCATCATTGGAAGGGTGCTGGAGTTAAAAAGATGGTCTATATCTTCCTTCCCTCTTTGCAGACATGGAGGACTGTCTGTGTGGAATATTGCATATGGTGTCAGGTGATGCATGCTCTTGTTAAGCTGCCATTTTTCTCTTTCTTTTTAATCATGAGCTGATAGATCATTCCTTTAAACCTGGCAGGAACCTCACATAGTCATAAAATCATAAATGCCCTGGAAGATCGTAGATCAACTTATCCAGCATCCCTCCCTTTACAGATGAGGAACTGAGATACAGAAAGGCTTGTCTAAGATCATACAAGTAATAAGAGTTGTTTCAAACATTTTCAATTGTTTATGACTCTTCATGTCCCCATTTGGGGTTTTCTTCACAAAGATACTAGAGTGGTTTGTCATTTTCTTTTCCAGCTCATTTTGCAGATGAGGAAACTGAGGCAAACAGGGTTAATTTATTTGTCCAGGGTCATGCAGCTAGTAAATGTCTGAAGCCAGATTTGAACTCAGGAAGATGAGTCTTCTTGACTACAGGGCCAGGACTCTATCCACTATAGTGCCCCCTGGCTGCTCTGATGTAATAAATATGTAAAATCAAGATTCAAATTCAGCTTCTCTGTTCCAAATCCCCTGTGCCACATCCCAAGAGATAGCTTCCTGGGTAGCAGAGAAGGAAGCCATATTGAAAAATGAAGGTCACATAAAAACAAAAGACATCAACAAAAATGATATTTTAATAAAGATAAAATCACCAGCTAGTTTTGATTGTTTCATGAAACAGATAAAACTTTTATTAATTATTTTTTGTGAATGCTCAGGAAATGTTTGTTGATAATGCTCTCTTTCCTCCTTGAGCCCCAGTTCTTTGGAAATCCAACATGTGATTCAGTTTAAGCAACCCATTCTCTGGTATTAGCATCTCAGGCCCTTGCCATTCTGGCAACAAGATGGTGGTTACCCAGAACTGCCTACTCAATGAGGAAGTCAAACCAGTAAATCAATTGGAGGGGGACCCCAAATTAAAAACGAGCCATATGAGGTCTGCCATATTTGTATTTATAAGCCCAGACATCAACAGTCACCGTGGCTCCTTAGTGCAGAAATTATTTTCCCCTTAGAAGAGAACTCTGAGACAAATTCCTGCAGTGAGTTCTGCCTGGCCTCCTACATTTATTGTTTCACTTTCAAGGATCCCACTTTTCTCAATTAGTTATAAAATGCTTTATGACACCGTGTAGGATCCTGGCTCGTGTCAGCTACCACCACTGGGTTCTCCAGGCTGCCAAGGCCTTCACCACTAAAGCATATATCTAAAGCCCCTCCACTCTGCCTGGCAAAATCACTGTAGCCTGGCAGACTTTCAGGAGAAAGAATACTGAATCTCAGCTCTCAACTCCCAATACCCAACCCCCCCCCCCAACAACAACTGCAGCTCAAAAAATGGCATGATATTTCAGAGTCCTGATTCAAATCATAATGAATGCAGAGTGATACTATAATAGTTGGTAATTATCAGGAATAGGTTACCGGCCAAATGAGCAGCTAAGAATGTGGGACTGGGCGATTTCATTTGTAATAAGTGTGAGCTGATATACTGATGATTTGATTAGCCCTAATTATGCCTCAGCACCGATATTTATGCTTGTTCAAATTAAACTACTTGCCTACCCCACCAAGGAAAAGAATACATTTCAGGCAAGGCGCTAAGTGGTGCTTTGCATTTGTAGCCTGGCTTCTAGGATGGTGCCAATGGGGAATGTGTGAGAGAGCCCCCAGCAGTGGCCTTGCCCCCTGGCAGGGATCCAGGTCCAATCCCTTCCTCTTATGGATGACAAAGCTCAGAGAAGGTAAGCAATCTGCTCAAGTTTGATAGAGTTGGACTAGATGACCTCAGGCCTCTGCCAGCTCTATATCTATGATTCTATGAACCCTAAAACACGTATATAAACAATAGATGCAATATAGATCATAGTATCCAATTATATAATTCATAATAATCACTGTCACTGTCTTTCTTACGCTTGAGTGAAGGAAATCCAGGCTGAAGGTAGGGAGATAGAGTTTTGTCATTGTTGTTGTCATTTATTAGAGTAAAAAATTCAATTCAATTTAACCAATATTGTGCCAAGAACTGTTCTGTGTGCTGGGGATACAATAATAAAGGGGAAACAGCCCTGCCCTCAAGGAGATCCCAAGATGTTGTAAGGCAAAAAGGGTTTGTTTCTCAGTATAAATCTAAATCACAGAAAGCCCTCTCCTGGGACCTTTAGGGGGATGGCAGTCCACCTCTCCGATGGAGTTGGAGAAGTCATGACTGTGATTTCTCACTACTGTGGACAGATATCTATTGGGGTAGATGTGACATGTCCACAAAGAAGTATGAGTGTGGTGGGGGCAAAGGAGTGACCCAAGCAAAGTACTCTGTGAAACAAGAGATAGAGAAGGATTTCAGATGAGAGGTGAGAGGGAATGGGATCAAGGAAGGATGAGCCGAGCTGAGCTCAGCTTGGAGCAAGAGGATTTCAACAGGTAGAGATAAAGAGAGATTATGTTCCTAGTATAAATGTCCATAGAGCCGGGGTGGATGCATGAAGGCAGGACATGGGAGCACAGCTGGAGGGATAGCTCCAAGTCCAATGTAGCCATAAGGTAGAGTTCATGAAACAGAGTTATGTAAAATATAAGTAGAAAAATATGGTGGCCCCAGTTTATAGAAGGCTTTCCAAGTCAAGCCAGTTCATGATCCCTGCCCTCAAATCACCTTCCCATGGTCACAGATTACACTCTACTCTTTCAAACAAAGTTTTGCTATGTGAGGTAGTTTACCACCTCCAGAAGTCCATTAGGAATCTCCCTCTTTCCCTAAGATCTCCAAGTATTTGTATTTTATCCTAAGGTAATGGGGAGCCATTAGAAGTTCTTGAGCAGAGTAATGGCACTGTCAGATATGTTCTTAGTAAGATTATTTGGGCACCTTTATGATGGATGAGAGGAGAGACTAGAAGTAGAACAGTCCAGAGGCTATCAGAATTGGTTCTCTTTCCAGGCACTGAGACATTACCATGGTCCTCTTTCAAGTCACAGTGAGATGAAAAGGAAGGACAGACTTTTCTGCAAAGGGTCTGGAAAGCCTGCCTTTCATTAGCCCCTCCATACTGAAGCAGGGAGTAGTATTTCCTCAAAGGGATAACAGCTTGATCTCTTGCCATTTAGCTATGTAAGTCTGAACAGCAGTGACATAGCCAGCTGGTAACTAGCTGATATGGCTGTTGAGGCTTGGGGTGAATGCCTTCCTCTGCCTGAACTTCATGCTACAGAAAGGAGGCATCGAGAGTTTTGCAGAGTATATATTACATGCCAGAGAGCCATGTCGATTTTCTGTCCCCTGGAAAGAAAGGAAGTCAGAATGTAAAATGGCAAAGCTAACTAGCTTTTGCAAAGTCAATTTTAGAACTAAAAGAAATCTTAGACCAGAAATTATCAGAGCTAGAAAGAACCTTAGAAAACAGAATGTCAGAGTTTGGGAAGGGGGTCCCTAGGAAAGAATACGTGCGCGTTGGAAGGGACCTCAAAATATAGAATGTTCAAGTTGAGAGGTCCCTTAGAGCAGAAGGACCAGAGAGGTTATCCAATCTAGCCCCTTAATTTCATAGTTGAGTTAACTGATGCTCAGAAAGGGAAGCTACTTGCCAAAAGTCACATAGCAATTTAGCAGCAACACCAACTGCTACTGCTGAGCATGGGCAAAAATACAAGGGGAGAGAAATCTCTCTGACAAAGTGTCATCGTGATCCCAGAAAAGCATCTGTCTCCCATCCCATGGTGCCAAGTTAAATCCTACTCTTCAAAACAAAGTTTTGCTAAGTGAGGTGGTTCACCACCTTCAGAAATGCCTGTGTGTTACCCTCAACTGGGGATCCCCCTCTTTGCCTCAGATCCCCACCTTCAGCAGAGGCTACTTGTCCAGGAGCTCTAGCCACACCCTTCCCCCACCAATGGTGCCTTGGGCTAGTAATATCCTCCTGCCATACTGTCCCCATCCTGAATTCCAGAACTTCTCTCAAGAGGATCAAGCCCTTACAGAAACAGTTACCTTGATAATGATCTCTCCAAGGAGCTGGCTTGGGATTCATATAGATGCTACGACTTTAGGGATAGCTCCATCACATCTCTCTTTTCTTCCTTTCTTCCTTTTTTTCCCCTTAAATGATCTTCTTTGGTTAATCATTTAACATTTATTGAACACCCTCCAAGCTCCAAATCCTGCAAAAAAAACTAGGATTATGGGCTGATTAAAACTGATTTTCTTAACAACTACGTCTATTCTCAGTGGAGTTGGAAATTCCCACGGTTTATAAGAGCAGGTGGAGGTTTTTTGGATTGGAATGGTTTGGGTTTTTTTTTTACCTGAAAAGAAGACTTAATGTGGGAGTAACTGTAATATCAAAAAAAAAAAAGAGGAAAAAAATTCCCTGGCCAACGAACAATGCTGGGTTTGATAGCTCTATCTGGAAAAGAGGAGGCTGGAGAACTGGAGTAGAGAGATAAGGTTTAATCCCACTGGGGAGATAGCCTCCAAGCTCCTACTTTGCTTGTGATTTCATTTGGCTGATATGCAGAGTTGGGTGACTTGGTATTTCCCTGTTTTCCAGCCCTAGTTGACTTACTCAATAGTTTATAGTCTTAAATGTTATGCAAGGACAATTTCCCGGGTCTATGCGGCAGATAGCTGGGGGGAGGAGGGGGGGCGCTTCATAGTATAGCCAAGCACCTGGGTTTCATGGGATCCTGTGTTTAGAATGGGAAAGGACTGATTCTCAATCCTCATCCTTCTTGACCTCTCTTCAGCAGTTGATCACCCCTCTTCTCCTGGGTACTCTCTGCTCTGGGTTTTCTTGACACTAATCTCTTTTCTCCTACCCCCTGTCTGACCCTCCTCAGTCTGTTTTGCTGGCTTATCATCTGTATCACACCCACTAACTGTGGGCATTGTGCCTCAGGGCTTTGTCCTTGGTCTACTTCTAGCCTCTACCTTCTCTTACTACAAGACTTCATTACTTCCCATGGGTTTACATATCTCTTTGGACTTACTTCCCAGATCTATGTACTGGGTCTCCTGAGTTCCTTTCAGACATCTTGAAATAGATGTCCTGTAGATATCTCAAAGTCAACATGTCCAAAATAGAACTCATTGTCTTTCCCCCAAAACCCTCCTGTTTCACCGACTTCCCTAATGCTCTTGAGGAAACTACAATCCTCACAATCATCCAGGTTCCCAGCCTCAGTGTCATGTCTGACTCCTTACACTTACTCACGTGAACATCCAATGTGTTACCAAATCTTCCCATTTCTATCTTCATAACGTCTTTCTCACCTTACCTCCTGCTCTTTGTTCCCCCAAGGCTCAGTTGAAGGGCCACCTCCTACATGGAGTTTTTCCTGATTTCCTTAGTTATCAGTGTCCCTACCAATCACATGTATTTATTTTGTATATAACCTTTATTTACTTATCTGTGAACATGTTGTATTCCCGTAGTGGAAATGTAAGCTTCTTAAGGGCAGGGACATACTCACTTTGGGATTTGTATTCCTAGAACATGGCCTGGCAGATAATAGCCACTTAGTAAATAGAATCCTGTATGTTGAACTGGAAGGGAGCTCAGAGGTCATCTGGTCCTAATCTTTCATTTTAGAGCAGTTGAGAAAGCTAAAGCCTAGAGCTGATACAGTGGATAGAGCACCAGGCCTGAAGTCAGGAAGACCTGAGTTCAAATCCAGCCTCAGACACTAGCTATGTGACCCTGGGCAAGTCACTTCACTCTCTTTGCCTCAGTTTCCTCACCTGTAAAATGAGCTGGAAAAGGAAATGGCAAACCACTCCGAGATCTTTGCCAAGAAAACCCCAAATGGCGTCACAGAGAGTTGGACATGACTAAAAATCAACTCTAACGGCTTAGAGAAATGAAGTGATTTATTGCCCAAGATCACACAGTCTGTTGGGTATAGGCAGGATTCAAACCCAGTTTCTCTGACTCTAAACCCAACAATCTTTCCACTGTATCCTATTGAACCCTGGTTTTGCCACTTGCCAACTGAAGTGACCTTAGGTCTTGTGTGACTTTTATCAATGAAGTGCTTGAGGCTTGGAAAAGGTTCAGTGACTGACCAGAGATCACACATTTAGCAAGTGTCAAAGGTCTTCAGATTCCCTCTTCGATTCACTCTTCCTTCAGCCACATTGCCTGTCTTGGGGGCTGGAGGAGCACCTCCATTCAGTATAGTACTGGCCTGGGAGGAGGGAGAGAACATAGGTGGAGGAGGGGATCTGATCAGTCAAGAAAAGGGGACAGGATCCCCCTGTGCAGAGTCAAAAGGTGTCATTCTGAACAGTGCCATATGCTTCCTGGTGGGCACATGGTGGCCACTCCATGAACAGAGGGAATTTAACTGGCCCTAAACCAAGAGTGGAAGAGTGTTTATAACTGACATGGGGAGGGTCACTTTTTGGCAATAAACAGATGTTCCTGTGGAAGGATGCAGGAAATTTTTAATTGAACTGCCACGAAGGTGAATGTAGCCTGAAGCGATAGCCAAGGCAAAGATAAATATGTCACCTCGCCATGGGATAAAGGGATGGAGTTGCCAGAGAAGCTGAGTTAATTTTTTTTTCCGAAAACTTGTTTTTATCACCAAGTTAAAGGGGGAGTCCAGAGACAGGCTAGCTTTGTATTGTGCCTTAAGCCTGGTCAGATTGTATGTATTTAATTTCTGTCTTTGTACCCCTAGCACCTGCTAAAGCACAATGCCTAGCACATGGTAAGAAAAGGAAGGAAGGAAGGAAGGAAGGAAGGAAGGAAGGAAGGAAGGAAGGAAGGAAGGAAGGAAGGAAGGAAGGAAGAAGGAAGCAAGGAAGGAAGGAAGGAAGGAAGGAGGAAGGAAGGAAGGAATGGAGGAAGGAAGGAAAGGATGGATGGAGGAAGGAAGGGATGGATGGGGGAAGGAAAAGAGGGAGGAAGGAAGGGAGGGAAGGAGAGGGAGGGAGGAAGGAAGGAAGGATGGAAGGAAGGAAAGAAGGAAGGAAGGGAGGGAGAAAAGAAGAAAGGAGAGAGGGAAGAAAGGAAGAAAGGAGGAGGGGAAAAGGGAAGGAAGGAAGGAGAGAGGGAAGAAAAGAAGAAAGGGGGGAGGGAAGGAGAAAGAGAAGGAAGAAAAGAGAAGGAAGGGGAAAAGGAAGGAAAGAAGACACTGTGCAAAGCCCTTTACAAATATTTTCTCATTTTATCCTCAAAATCATTCTGGGAAATACTTACAATTATTATCCTTATTTTACACATAAAGAAACTGAGGCAGACAGAGGTGAAGTCACTTACCCGTGGTGGTACAACTAATAAGGATCTGAGGCAGAATTTGAACCCAGGTCTTCCTGACTCCAAACCCAGTGCTCTCTCTACAGTTTCATGCTCTAGGCATGAAAGGGTTGGACTCAGTGATCCCTAAGGCCCTTTCCAGCTCTAAATCTTATGCATAAGATGAAAATCCTATGAGTTAGTGCCCAGCACTCTGATCTGAATGCCCAGGCAACCTGTTCAGACAGTGAGCACAGAGAAAGCCTGAAATGTCTTTCCTGAGGTTCATGCTTCAGAACATTTTCTGTGTGATTTTTCCAGCTCCTGGATACTTAATGACTGCATCTGTTCAGGGAACTGGATTTCCCTTTGTAATTACTGAATGATTTCAACCTCTTCCCACCTCTTCAAAAATAACAGGAGCCTAACATACGAGACCACCTAAGCACTTTGCAAATCTAGTCTTCAACTCCCCCCCCCCTTTTTTTGTCAATTGCTAATGGAAAAGGTGCTTGTAAAACCCTGTAAGTTCTATGTGGGAGTGCCTCTTTGTTAATCCGTTAAAAAAGTGGATTAAAATCCACAAAGAGACAGAGGAAGAAAGAAAGAGTAGTAGCTATTGCCTGAAGGGCCCTGAGGCAGGTATTTGTCAACCTGGTAGCTAGAATAGACAGGTCTGCGACTTCCCTAGGCATGGATATAAGATATAACACAGAACCACCCACCACTTACCAAAATGGATGACACCTCCCCACTTCTGGTGATTTATGTGGGCACAAATGACACTTTTCAGAAGGAATTGAAAAGTATTGTCAACAATCATGAAGCCTAGAACAAGAAACTAAAAGCCATAGGAACACAGGGTATGTTTTCTTCACTGCTAACCATCGAAGGCAAAGGATGATGAAGAGAGAAATTAATTTGGGAATGGGATTTGAATGTCTACATCCCAGCTTGCAATATTGGGTGGACAGATTCCTGACCAGAGATGGAGTGTACCTAAGAATGTACTGTACTCACCAAGTATCTTGCAAATCTCATCAAAAGGGGTTTAAATTAAAAAAAGGATGGGGGAGAGAGAAGGCTGTCTATGCCTTAGTTATCTGTCTCCTAAGTTAGAGAATAATAGGTATGATAGTGAGGAACTAAAGAGAGGGAAATAGAAGAGTATCTGAGATTCCACCAAAGAAATTCAGAGGAGACAGAACCCAAGAAAGAAGCTGATAGTAAAACCTATTACCTCAAATGCCTATGCAGAAATGCCAAAGTTTAGTTAAGAAGAAGAAGAATTAGCAGTCCTAAATGAAAGAGATAAATTTAACCTCATGACTAGACTGTGTCTCTGGATAGGTATACCTGGGAAAGTTGAGCCTGGACAGAAGACTTGGGAGGAACAACATAGCTGTCCCTAAGTGTTCAAAAGTCTCCCATTAAAGGAGCAATTAAGTTGTCCCATTTGACCCCAGAGAGCAAGTCCAGGAGCTGTGGAGGAAAATTGTGAAGAAGCAAATTTAGCCTTTGTCAGGGAAAAAAACTTCCTAACAATTACAGCTGTCCAAAAGTGGGATGGATTGGGGCAGTGAGGTGGCACAGTAGATAGAGCACCATCCCTGGATTCAGGAAGACCTGAGTTCAGATCCGGCCTCAGACACATAACACTTACTAGCTGTGCGACCCTGGGCAAGTCACTTAACCCCATTGCCTGGCCAAAAAAAAAAAAGTGGAATAGATTGCCTGGAGCAGGGGTGGCCACATGTGGCCTTGAGGTTGAAGGTTCCCCACCCCTGACCTAGAGGGTTCATGGATTTCCCCTTCTTGGGGATCTTCAGAGTCTGGAAACCATGTGTTTGGGTATGTTTGAATAGAGACTCATTTGGAGTATGGGTAGGACAAGATGGCCACTGGGACCCCTTCCAGTTT